GAAATGATCACAGTCTGTCACCATATATAGTTATAGCATTTTTTTACCCTTGGGAAGAGAGCTTTTAAGATCTACTCTCAGCAACAAATATGTGACACAGTTACTAACTACAGTCGCCATGCTGTATATTACATCCCCAATTAATTACTTATTTTGTAACTGGAAATTTGTAACTTTTGACTCTTCACCCATTTCACCCACCTTCTATCTACCCTCCCACCCCTGGCAACCACCAGTCTGTTCTCTATACCTATGAACTTGGTTTGTTATTTTTTAGATTCCACATGTGAGATCAGACAGTATTTTTCTTTCTCAGTCTGATTTATTTCACTTAACATAGTATCTTCAAGGTTCATCCATGTTGTCACAAATGGCAAGATTTTATTTTTTATGGCTGAATAATAATCATTATCCTATATAATAAAAGCCTAATATGCAAATTGTCCCCTTGAGCGGTAGTTTGACCAGGAGTTCAATCAGAAGACTGGGAGTTCGACTGCTCACTTTGATGTATGCTGACCAGCAGAGGGTGGCGCAGAACATGGCAGGCATTGCGGTGCTGGCAGCGGGCAGCAGTAGTGGTGCTGCCAGTCCCAATGGGCCCCGACGAGAGCGGAACCGTGGTGGGATGGTGGAACAAGTGAGTGGCGGCGCCAGGCCAAGGTGGGTGCGAGTGGGGGCTCGATCATCCCACTGATCACCCCATAGACAGCGACCAGTGGCAGCGGTGGCGGGTGGGGCTGGCTCCCCAGCGCTAAGGGAGCTGCCCTGCAGGCGGGATGGTGGAGCAGGTAAGGGGGTGACACCAGGCCAAGGTGGGGCTGCAAGGTTAGGGGCATGAGCTGGGGCCCGATCTCCACAGGCCACCCCGAGGGACCCCAACCGTGCACCGGGCCTCTAGTGTGTGTGTGTGTGTGTGTGTGTGTGTGTGTATTCAGCACAATTTATCCATCTATCAATGGAAACTTAAGTTGTTACCATATTTTGGTTATTTTCTATAATAATAAAAGGGTAATATGCTAATTAGACCGGACTTCTTTGAGGCGTCATTCTGGATGTCCTTCCTGACAAAGCCAGGGTGGGAGTGAAGCCAGCAGGGTCCAGGTGCCCTCTGGTGGCAGGAGGAGGGAAGCAGCCCGGTGCTGGAGGGCGGCCGGAGGAGGGAAGCCAGTGCCGGCAGCCGGGGGAAGGCCTACTCTTGCACAAATTTTCGTGCATCAGGCCTCTAGTTGTGAATAATGATGCAATGGACACAGGGCACATACAACTTTTTGAATTAGTTTTCTTTAGACACTTAAAAGTGGAATTTCTGTGTTTTATGATCTATTTTTAATGATTTGAGGAATCTCTGTACTGTTTTCCAAGTGGCTGCACCAACAGTGCACAAGGGTTCTTTGCTTTACATCCTCTCCAACACTTACCGTATTTGCCGGCGTATAAGACGACTGGGCGTATAAGACGACCCCCTAACATTTCCACTCAAAATACAGAGTTTGTTATATACTCGCCGTATAAGACTACCCCCTCTTCCGCACACCTTCCACACACCAAATAAAAGGTAAAACAATATCAGATTTGATTTTAACATTTTAATTTATATTCAAATGCTTATGACATGCAGGAAAACTGTCACAAGGCTGTATGTAATCAAACATATACATAAAACAGTGCAAGTTTATTACCGGTAAACATACCGGTAATTCACTAAAGAAAACACACTCTATAGACTGGTACCGTAGATGCTTCTCAGGAACACAGGCAAGCAGCCCACAACCTAGAGGGACTGTCAATGATAGAAGTAAGATAACAAATAGAGGTAGAGAGCAAGTGCCGGGCAAGTCCCTAGCAA